CATTTGAGACATAAAATACATTAAGGTTACAATGTTTATCTGAAATTAAGAAAAATGGAACACAAAATAAAAGCTTTATGAAAACTTGTAAATATATTAGCAAAGAATGAAAAGAACATAGAAAGACTGGAATAGTTTTAAGATGAGGAAGTTATAAGTAAATTTGCTCTCATAAAAATGTTTCCAACTTCATTTTAATAAAAACTAGAAACAATAGAGGAGGAAAGAGATAGTTGCATCTAAGCAACTGGAATGTGGTATTATAATTGCACATTAACTCTTTGAGTCCAAACTTTCTGGATGTGAAGTTAAGTCTGCTTTATATAGCACTTACGGACTAATTAAAGAAGGTTTATAAGTTCTTAGAAGATACATCTTTTTCTACTTTGGAATCCTAGGTGAATTCAAAGGAAAATGGGTATAGCTTTAACCATACCTGTTGTTACCGTAGAAAAAGAGCACTCCTTTGTTTTTCATAATCATCTTTTGAAGGCTAAAGTAAATTGAATTCAATTAGAAATTCCTTCTCTCCCTCCCTCTCTTATAATGTGCACGTCTTTGACTCTTCCCCTGGGTCCTACCTCAATAACAAATTGCTTTGAAAACCAAATGACAAGGATTAAAAAATTAGCATGAGCTTTGAGATGAACATAGTTATACCTTTTCTCAAAGGAATCAAGGGCAACTATGTACATGGTAGTCAGTTGCTGATACCAGAGGGACAGAGAAACAATTTTGGGGGTAAATGATAGAGCCCAATGTTTTAAACTCTCAAGCAGTGTGCTTTGGATCCTTTAGAAAATTATCTGCTGGCCAGGCCTTCAGTTAATAAAACTGAAGATATTGCTAAAGTAATGACAATGAAACTATGCAAAACTAGAATCTAGTTGCACCTTGGCTAGAGGGCTCAAAGATTTATGATAGGGGCCTTGTTTTTAAATATTTTGTTAGAAATCAAGTTATAAAAAGTCAAGAGAGATCAATGAGATCTTTTCTTCAAGAATTTGATGAAACCTACTTACCGAAAGCTGGCCTTAAGAAATTAAGAAATGTAACTCAGCAAATTATTGTCCCATTCTGTCTTTTTCTGAAATATCACATTTTTGAAACAAGCATTTTGATAGTAGTGAGCACTACAGTATTATATTTTCTGAGTTGTTTGTTTTGAACTATATAACAGCATTTACATTCAGCATTTTTAGAGAATATTTTGAAAAGAGAAAAAGCAGAGACAACTGGAACTTGCTTCACTCAGTTAATTCCTCAAGTAAGGTGACTTCTGGTGATTTCAAGTGGCTTCCTCAGTGAGAAATATTTTCTTCTAGGACTAAGTGTTGCACACCTTGAATTTTTAATTCATCTTTCAAAATTTCCTGTGATTTTAAAAAAAATTAGAGCAATCAAATATTTTTCTTAAAACAAGCGACTTTTCTTCATGAGCGACCACTGCAGTTTTGACCCCTTTGTTTATTCTGCCACTAAGTGCTAAAAGCATAGAAAAATGGGACCCTTGCAATACCACCCAGGCCCCATTGCTGACACTTAACCTACTTCCAGTTAAGTTTTCAAAATTGTACTAGTCTATCTCAAATGGTTCACCTGAGTAATTCTGTATCATTTCTTACTTGACAGTCCACCAATTATCTTAAGCTCTTCAATATTAGTCACTCAGTTGTGTCTGACTCTTTGGGACCTGATGGAATGTAGCCTTCCAGGCCCCTCTAGCCAAGGAATTCTCCAGGCAAGAATTCTGGAGTGGGAAGCCATTCCCTTCTCCAGGGGATCTTCTCCATTCAGGGATGGAACCCAGGTCTCCTGCATTGCAGGCAGATTCTTTACCTTATGGGCCACCAGGGAAGCCCTAAACTGCTCTAGGGAATACTAACAGTCTTCTGATTCTCAGGTAATGTAAGGTCACCAACGTTGTTTTTGCACAATTCTTTTCACTTTAAAGGGCTTCCCAGGTGGCGCTAGTGGTAAAGAACCCACATGCCAATGCAGGAGACAAAAGAGTGGCAGGTTCAATCCATGAGTCAGAAGATCCCCTGGAGGAGGGCATGGCAGCCCACTGCAGTGTTCTTGCCTGGAGAATCCCATGGACAAAGGAGCCTGGTGGGCTACCGTCCATGAGTCGCAGAGAGTTGGACACGACTGAAGCGACTTAGCATGCATTTCACTTTAAAAAGAGTGTGTATATCTTACACAGTTTGCTCTTTGCTGAAACCAAAGCATCATTAAGGACAGTTTGGAGACTTGGGTCAGAAGCTGTATTCTCCTAGGCTCCCCTTATGTAATATTAACCCCATCCTGAGCTCTGGCCTTTGAGCGGCGAGTGACAGGCGGCATTGTGACTCCCTGGTCCAGAGGAGGTCAGCTGAGGTGCCGTCACGTATTACCGGCTTAGGCATCTCGTTTCTGAAAGAAATCAGCCAACTCCACTGGTGCACACCCGAGCCTCCTCTAGTCCCCTCCCTTCCCCAACAGATGGGAAAGGCTTGGTGGCGCTTCAGCCAAACCCCCTCCTCCGCCCGCACCCCCACCCTGGGCTCTGTGTCCTGAGGCAGCTGAGAGGGCAGCGAGCCAGCCCTGTCTGAAAGCCTGCCGTCGGTTCTGCTCCCCACCCGCCCGTGCCCCGTTCAGTCTCTCCAAGATGTGAGCCCACGGTGAGCTCCCTAACTCCTGCTCTCCACCCCCACTGAAAACCCAAGATCTCGACCCCTCTTACAGGAGTCTACCCAGGCGAGCTTTCTCCCCAGACTCCACACGCTGCATGGCTGTTTGACCCTATTTAGCGAGAAACCTGCGGACCCGCGTTTACAACTCCCGTTCACTCGGTGGGGTGGGTGGATGGGGTTTGATCCAAAAACAATGACAAGAATCACCCTACAGCTTCCGTAAGTAAGTTACTTGGTCGAGCATTATTAGTCAAAAGTGTAAAACAAACAAAAACCCTGAAACCTAAATTAAATCATCACACACATTCAATTCCCGGACTATGCCTTCCAACAGAATTCAAAGAGTTAAAGCTGGCCATAGCTCATGGTTTTCCATGCTAACATTTTGTGACATTAGGACTATTTTGTTAACTAGGTATATGCAATTCACAGAATTTCACGGTAAATTCCCCAGACCAAATATTTGGCTGAACAAATAAACAACATTATCCATTCCTGAAAATAAGCCAGTAGAGGAGGGTGGATGTCTGGGGGAGGGTGGTTGCTAGAAAGTGACTGGAGCCTGGCAGTCACTGGGCTCAGGATTTGCCCTTGGATAATTTGCCCAAGTGCTAGAGATCTGCAGGTTCCTCTTCAATGACAGACGTTTCAGAAAGTTGCTGGAAAACGGGCAAAACAAGACGAGGCTGCCTGAGGGGAACCCGTAATGGGCTTCCCCTAAATGATTTATTCGACCTCCTTACCATTAATCAAAGGGGCAGCGACCTGGGGGGCTGGGGGAGGGGGGAAGTAACCCTCTTCGCAGGGAGTTTTGGAGGAACTGTGGAGTCTTGCTGCCTTTGCCTGGGGCTCTGATCTCCTCTCTCCACCTGCGCTCTCCAGGGAGCTGGGGCTTTGGCAACGGCTCCACTTCTATTTTTATTGGTTTCCACTAAGCTGCTCCTTTCGGAGGATTGTAGGACTTCAGTAATTAAAAACAAAAATGAGTCCTGCTTCACCCACCCCACCCCCAAGAGCACATGGAAGAGTGTGCGTACAGGAATGGGGTGGGGGGGTGCACACAGCACCACCACTGCCACTCACACCTACATCCTAGGACAAAGAGCGCACTCCTAACAGCCCACCCCACACACTACACAGAGGCACACTGCTTTTGCCCCAAAATCATCCAAGCCCATGCACACACACACAAAATGAGCCCAAACAAACTAAAATCCCAAGGCATAATGTAGTTGCTGGTGGAGAATAAGAAAATGCAAATGTCCTCTGGTTCTCTGAGCCCCTATATCCCTGTCCTTCCAGAAAGCCACTTCTCTGCCTCACTGGCAGCCTTGAACTCAGGGACAGACTGCTCAAGCACATCAGCATTTTCCTTCTTTAGTCTGGCCCCAAACTGAGCTTTCTGCTTGAATAAACCCTGGCTCAGAACATCACATCCACCAGGTCTATCACTTACTGCCCAGCTTCAGGGAAGTGGGGAGGAGAGCACAGATCAAGGGAGTTGGTATTTGAGTCTATTCAGTGGGACACTCATAATGCCCACTTGGAAATTCTGACCTTTCAGTATCTGACCCCATTGCCAGTCCTCACCTGGCTCCATCTCTTGGAATTTTGAACTCAATGGAAGCCTTCATCTGGGGAATAGGAGACACGGGGGGAAAAGTCCAGAGACACTGGAGAATTTTCCACCATGTGGTATATTAAAATAGCAGATCACCAAATCTTTTGAAAGTAAGGCAGATTATTTGCCTTTTTGGATAAAATCCACTTCTCAAAACACACAGACAAAACCAACCAAAAAATTCTTGTTTAACACACACACACCAACACATGAAAATGTGAGTGTGCAAATTCATTTTGGTGTGAAAATACAACACTGGTGCCTGCAGCAATTGGAGACACCCTGAGGTATCATAAAAGCAGAAGTGGGAACCATTTCCCTAGAGCTGAGACACTTATCCATCACACTTTGCTGGGACACACCTCTAACAGGTGAACAAAAGCAGAGGATATACAAGGAGCCCAAAACTGAGTCTTTAATCTGGCATACTCCTTTCATCCCACTGTTTCTCCAAGGCATGTGCCATCCAGATGGGAGAGGGCGCTGCCTGCTTGTCCTTGTTAACATTAAACAGAAGTGGAGAACAATTCACCCTGGCAATTCCCATCCTCCACCATCTATTTCCTGTCTTCCAACTTAACCACCCCCAGGTACCACCCTCTGACTTCTGCTGTACCCCAACCCCACCTTAACAGAAAAAAAATCTCCTCCAAAAGAGACGGAGTATAGGAAAAGAGAAAGAATTGAAGATAAAAAGAACTTAGTTTACCTTTAAAATAATGACTCATTTTATTTTTTCTTTTAATATGTAGTTATAAATATATTTTGTCAAAATATATGATCAATATGGTCAAAACATTTGCACGTAAAGTCATAAATAAGGTCAAGGTGAATGTTTAGTTTTTTTCCTTTTTTTTTTTTAAGATAAAAGTCCAGCTATAAGGAAGCAGTCTGTGTAGTGTGTGGGTGAGTAGTGGATGGGGTGTGTGTGTGTGTGTGTGTGTGTGTGTGTGTGTGTGTGTGTGTCCCCAAGGAAGGCCTGATCTCAGCGGCACCCACATCCCTCCACTACCATCTCCTGATAATTTTTCAGAACCACCTTGTCATACTCATCCAAGTACAGCATGGAGATGGCGCTCAGTTCGGTGGGAACACAACAGGCTTTGGGGATGCTGGAGTTGACAGAGTTGACGAGGGTCTGCACAATGGCGTGGTTGGTGGAGTTGAGGTGGTCGGCCAGCGGAAAGGGGCAGTCCCCGTGGCAGTAGAAGGCCTGGTAGCCTGGTGGGGCCACAATCCAGTCGTTCCAGCCCACATCACTGAAGTCCACATAGAGCGAGTGGCGCCGGCAGTTCTTATTCTTCTTCCGGGCCCTCTGTGGGTGATGCTTGGGGCTACGCTTGGCCCTCCGGCGTCGGGTCAAGGCATGTCCCCGGCCATCGTGGCCAAAGGTGACCAGGAGGGGCCGGAGCTGGGCCCAATCCCCACTCCCTTGAGGTAACGATCGGCTAATCCTGACATGCTGGCCCTGGTGGGTCCGTGTCTGATGGAGGTGGGTCACCTCAATGGCCAGCCCGTAGTTGGGCTGCTTCTCCCGGGTCCAGCGAAGGACTGCAGGGCTCACATCAAAAGTTTCCCACCGCGTCACATTGTGGTGGACCAGTCTTGTGTCCAGTAGTCGTGTGATGAGGTGCCCAGGCACCGCTTCTGCCGGGGGCTTCATAACCTCATAAATGTTTATACGATGAAAGCCCTGCTCCCAGTCAGGGCCCTGGTCCACCTGCTCCCGGAAGAGTCGAAGCTCGGCAGATGAGATCACCTCGTTCTCTGGGATGCTGCTGAGGTTAAAGAGGAAACGAAAAGCAGAGTTTTCGCTGGTCCCTGGGATGTTCTCCAGATGTTCTAGGCACCGTTGGGGAGGGAAAAAATAAGAGAACAGGGAAAAAAGGCACATGAGCTTCTTCAGAGACTGAAAAGTCAAGAAATAGCTAAGAGTTGGGTGATGCGTAGTGCACTCTGTTTATATAGTGGAAGCCTATTTGGGAGAAATAAGCGCACCTTTAATTTGACAGAGCAGATAAATGAGGCAGTGAGCAAACCAGCCAAGCCTAGCTAGCATTCAGCAAGCACCACAGACAGGATCTCCCAACCTCCTTTACATGTCTAATAATTTCCATGTGTCAGCTCCTCACTCCACCACCATCAGACTCCCCTTTGAAAGCCCTCCTGGCTTTGTGTACACAGTTTTCTTTACAAGTGGTTGTAAAGAAGAAGGGGGCCAGCAGACCAGAGGCAGGAGGGAACACGCACACAGCCACCCTCTCCCTCTTCTTCCACTTTCGAGTATGTTACCAAACATTTCCCCAGCGATCTTGGAAACACAGAGCATGCCTTGTTGATCATGTTACAGAGAGGAAAATAAATTCCAACACAGTAATGATGCTGGTGGATTAATAACTCAGATTTACTTTGGAAAAGAAACATCCGCTAGGAAACATTCAGATCGGATTACAAGGCCCCTATTGAATAAACCTGACAAACACACAGCTGTAATATTAAATTCAGTAGGTGCTTTGGAAAAAAAGAAAAAGGCAGAAAACCTGGCATAAAAAGCTTTGATATAGCAAAAACACACCGCAGGGGCTAACCCATGTCTGAGTGGTGTCATTCCCCTTCTTGCCGACCCCTCCCTTCCCTCTGTCTCCAAAAAATAAATTCAGCCACAGCTCTGGAGACTCTTGAAGGTAAGCAGCTCTCTTTTCCCAGTCTCCCGGATTTGGGGCTCTGATGTAACCTGAACTCCTCGTCTTCCCCGAGCTTCCACTGCCCCACCCCAGTCCAGATTCCAGGTAGGGACTGACCTTCGTGGTGGAAGCTCCTCACGGTGTTGGCCCGACTGGCGGGGCGCTCAGGATACTCCAGACCGATGCCCTGGATCTGCTCTTCCTCTTCCTCCTCCCCAGACTGAAGCCGGTAAAGATCCCGCATGTAATCCGGGATGACTGCGCTCTTGCTAGGCTGCGGGCGGCGGCGCAGCCCGAACATCTGCAGAAGTGTGGCCTCGAAGTCCCGAAGGAGCTCATGGCTCTGCCCTGAGCGGCGTCCTCCCGCGTGGCCCTGAATCTCGGCGACTTTTTTCTTCCCCGTCTCAGGTATCAAACTAGCATGGCTCGCGCCTCCTAGCAGGACTTGGCATAATAAAACGACCATCAGCATTCGGTTACCAGGAATCATGGTGTCTCTGGGGAGGGGAGGAGGTGGAAGGGTAAAGAATAAATAAACACCAATAACTAGAGAGAAATAGAGATGTCTCTGCATAGGCGTGGAGAGCTACAGCTAGAGGGGCCAGAAGTAACACAGGTCAGAAAGATCAAGTTTGTGTCCTCCCCCGACACACACCCCCCACCACCACCACCAGCTGCAGCCGTGCACGGCCTGAAAGTAGGAATTGCCCTGTAATTACTTGGTCTAACTTGTTTACAGTCAAATAACCCCAAATCAGATAGCCTCCATCCTGTTAATCTTTTTTTGTCCCAACTGCTATCTGAGCCATGATCTCAGCCTGGCTTCTTTAGGGATAAACAGTTAACAGTGAGAAGGTAAAGAAGGGTGGGGGAGGGAGAGTTCAAATGCCAGCGCTCTCCTCTCCACTTCAGACCTTCAGCCTCTCTCTCCCTTCTCCTCCACCCCCCTTCTTCCTCCGCCCTTCCTAGCCCGACTTCCACAACTTCCAGCTGGTTCGGAGGAGGGAGGGAAAGCAGAGAAGCAGGAGCAGGGTGAAGACACAGGGCGGCAGGATCTGGGAGCGTACCGAGTGGCCAGAGGGTTTATTTTACTGTGGCTGAGGAGTTTGAAATGCCCAGCAAAAAGCATCTGATCGCGCCCTCTCGCTCACTCCCAGGGAAGGGGGTGTGGGAGGGGATGATTCCAAGGGCGACCTCTGTGAGTTTTGACAAGCAGCTAGGAGCGCGCCACTGGGGCACTGGGTGCTCTCCAGTCCTGTGGGGAGGGGGGCGGTCAGCCCCCCGGACTGAGGACCTTCCATCTGTTCAGCCCCTTCTCGCTCCCCTTTCTTGCAACTCAGGGATCAGAGAGAGAGCCAGTGGGAGCAAGCGGCACTTTAACCAGAACCGGTAGGCTCCGAGCGCAGCGGCTGCCCGGCCTAGAAGAAAGCGACAGCGCTGCCAGAAAGAAGAGTGTGGACTCTGGAAGGAAGGTCCGACGGGAGGGACCCAAGGCGGGCGCGGGTGGGGAGGGCAGTGAATTCCCGGGAGGAGGGAAGGAAGAGGTGTCTACTCACTGACAGAAAACAAGGCATATAATAACAGTCCATGATTCTTGACAGCCAATCTTGAACAAACTTGCTGGAAAGGCTCAGAGGAGCTGCGGCAGTGCGTTGCTCTGGATGGCACTACGGAATGGCTCCTAAAATGAATATTTGAATATAATGAGACTGGCGCAGACGGACTCTGTTTTTCTTCCAGCCCCTATGAGTCACGTGAGAACAGAGGCCCCGCCCCGCGCACGGAGGAGCCCGCCCTCCCCGAGGCGGGCGGTGAAAGGGCCCGCGCGCCCGCCCCCGCCCGCGTTCCTGTAGCCTTCGGGGCGTCGAACTGGGCCCTCGCGCCAGCGGCCTGAAGCCAAGGGTCTGGGGAGTACCGTAGGGGCTGCGCCTTTCAGCGCGAGCCCGGCTCCAGTGGGGCCGGGATAGGGGGCCGCGGAGTCTCAGCCGCCGAAAGCCTCACCACCGAGGGTCATTTAAAAAGGAAAGCGCTGAGGGACACACAAACACACACGCCGCGCGCACCCCACTTCCTCCCCAGGGTCTCGGAGAGGCTAAATACTGCTCCCAGTGACAGCTAGTCACCCCCTGGCGAACGCCTGAGAATGTCCAGAAGAACTGGACAGCCGCTTTAGCTTCCAGCCCAAAGCTGCGGACCCTGTCGCGCGGGGCGGGAGGGGGAGATATTTAGGCTGTTATCGGTGTGGGAAGGTGATGAGGAAGCCGCCGCTAGGCTCCTTCCTCCGGTTCCTTTACGGAGAAAAACTCCGCACTACGGCCATCCCCCGCCAAGCAAAGCAAATCCCCAAAGAAAGTGGTCGGCGGGCCATTCAAGGCACGGCGGCGGGCGCAGGAACGCAAGGCTCGCGACAGACTCGAAAAGAGGCGTCTCCTGAGAAAAGGCTCATCACATGTTTCAGGTCTCAAGGTCGCGGAGGTTTTACAACTCCCGACCCGCCGCAGAAAGGAAATCCCACCGCATTCCCAGGAGTCGTGAAAACCGTGAACAGCTTTCGGCCTGCACTCGACCTCTGCGTCTGCGTCTCTTTCTCGCTCTCTCCCCAGCTTGTCTTTTTTAAACCACTACTCCTCCCCCGCCACTTCCTCCCCCACCCCCTTCCTCCTTTGCACCGGCTGCAGAGTCGCAGCAAATATTTCTTCAAGAATTTTACCAACCCACAGCTCAAGGAATTGCTAGGGTTCTGATTCTAACCAAAGATGCTGCATGCGTGGGTCGCTCAGCCCGGGGGCCTTAAAAGAAGAAGAAGAAAAAACCTGACATACCAACTGCGGCAGCCCGGGACCTTTTCAAAATCCTGACCCACGCAATTCTGCGGCAACCCGGCCCGCCCCGGGGTCCCGAGTCCCACGATTCCCGCTGGAAAGCGCAGAGCACCGGCTGCCCTTTCCTGGGGCTGTACCCAAGTTGCTGCTTCGGGTCGCTTCAGAGCTCAAGGGCTCAAGTTGCCCACCTCACTCTCCCCCGCAAACTTGGGGGCACTTGGAGAAGAGGAGGAAAGGATCAAGCGCTTAGCCCTCTCTCCAGCCGCGGCTGCCCAGCGCCGCCACACACCGCACTGGCCGAGTTGCGGAGGCCGCGGGCGCCCCTGCGCGACGGTCCACACCCGGCGACAGTCGCGCTGCTTTTTGACCGGCTTTAGGTTTTACCGCTCCCGAGCCACGGCTGGGGCTGACTGCGAAAGGGTTTGGAAGAGCAAAGAGTTTTGAGACGCCTAGAACCCTCAAAATGCCCCGTGGGAGGAGCTCCAGAAATGGGAAAAGCAGACGAAGAAGGGCCGGTCCCCGCGGGCGAAGGGACAGTGGAAAGGGCGGGAGCCCCGCAGTCCCCAGACCATCCTCCGACCCTAAGAATCTTACAGGGCGCGGCGCGAGAGCGCGCGGCGCTAAAACCGAGAAACCTGGGGAAGAGGGAGTTGTGTTTCAATTTCAGATTCAGAAGGATTCTTCTTTAATCACATTTTTCTCCTCCAATTTTCTTAATTAAGAGATAAAAGTCGAAAATCACTTTCGTCTCCAGAACTTTTTCTTGGGGGTCAGGGATGGATCTTGTCGCAATTGTCTTTTGCTTTCTTGCTCGAGTTTTCTCCCAACTCCAAAGTTTGTTCAGAGTTGACCTCAGTTTACCAACTCAATGTCTTTCGGGGTTTTAATGTCTCACAAAAACTTAAGCTCATAAAACGCAATCCTAACCATCCACCAATTGGTGCCCAGAAAGCGTCTAAGGCCGCTGGCGCAGCTCCCGCGGGCAGGGGTCTGCAGGGACCTGAGAACCCCAGGACCCTCTCCCATCGGCTCTGGGCCGGAAGGGCCAGTAAGAACAGTGCGTCCGATGTGCATCTCGCCAGCGGCTCTCCAAAGGACACGACACCCCAGGGACCTGCGTCCCCAGAGCGGCTAGATCCCGGCCACCGTCCCGACAGACCCTATACCATGAAATGATCGAAGAGCGACTCCCTGGATGCTCCAAGTCCACGAGAATAGCTCGTGGAGTAGGCGTGTTGGGCAACTGCGGTTCGCCAGCGCTCAGGGGCTTTAGCCGACTGGGGGCTGGGTTGGGTGACACTCCCCTAGACGCAGCCCTCCGGCGGCGCGCACGCTCCAGAAACCGCAGAACTGCGCTTCCCACCACCGAACCCGCCCAGGTTAGGTGTTCTCTCTCCATCTCTTCGCCCCTCAAACCCCTCACTTTCTCCGGAGCTCAGAACCACCTCTCGCTTTACTCTCCGACTCTTCCCGCCGGGCGGTCACAAATGCTAGTCCAAGAGCGTCATGTTCCGCTTAAGACCCTACAGTCTTTCCCAATGACCTCCAACGAAAGGCTTCTCCTCTCCCCCTTTCTCCTGCCCTGAACCTACTAAACGCTGAAATCGCCCGGGGCTACCGAACGGAGAAAGTGGTCTGGGCAGAGGCAATAGTGTATATGGAAGTGTCTTTCAGCACCAGCATCCCTACCTCTTGTAACCTCTAGTACCATCGTTGGGTAGTGGGGGGGACACAATTTGCCTCGACCACAACCAGAATCCCCTACTTCTCCCCTCAAGGATGCGCCTCAGCAACCCCCTCCGCCCTTCGCCAGGTTTAGTCTTGCTCACCATAGGTCCCTGCAGTAGCGGGCTCGCCAGCAGCAGCTCCCGGGGACCTCTGAACAGCTGCAGTGAACCTGGACGAGGGCCGAGGATTGGGGCGCAGCAGGCTCGAGACGGCGCGGACGGGAATCCCATCAGGGAGAGAGGCGAGATACTCAGCACTGATCAGCAGCGACGTCGCAGGCTCGGGTCCCTCCGCTCAGATGCCAAACTCACCTAGCTTCCGGGCCGAGCTCCGCTCCCGTTCCCTCCCTCCTTCCTCCTCTGCCCTCTCGCATCTTCTTCCTCCTCTTTCCCTCTCTCTCTTTCTTTCTTTCCTTCCTCCTCCTCTTCCCCGGCAGCCCCTCCCTTCTTCCCTCCTCCCTCGCTCGCCTCCCTTTCTGGGATGGGAGCCCCGCCCACATCCTCCCATCCAGCCGCCGGGCCTCGCCTCGCAGGCCCTGGTCCCGGAAACCCAGGCTGCGCCCGAGTCAGCCGCTGCCGCCGCCCGAGCTGGGACGCCGCTGTGTCCAGCTCTGGGAAGCGATCGGGGCTCACCTGGGGACCACGTGCAGAGGTACTAGAAAGCATGCACCGACTAGTCGCAGTACCTTCCAAAAATACCCATGGGAGTCTGTGGGCTTCCCTGACTTTAGGAGTAACTGCTGCCCAAACTGATGATTAAAACACTGAGTAATCACCATTTACCCCGAATAATTAGAGATAATGAAACACCTCTAAAATCAGGTTATGGAGAAAGGAGCTGTTGGATTGGTTTAAAGGGAGGCCTTCCATAAACTGTTAAAGGATTTCCAAACGTTGAGAAACAGGCTGTGCTCAGAGCTGTGTGCCTAAAAGAGGTACCTCTTTGGCTATTAAAAGATGACTTTCCTTCCAAAACTTTTTTTTTTTTTTAAAGCTTGTGGAAAGCCTTGGTGATGACCCTCAGAAAGTCACCCCTAATAGACACTCTGCCCCTCCAGACCAAACCCTTCTGAGGACAGAGGTGGCTTGGAGACAGGATGGGGCCACGTTTTTACACAAACAGAAAAGTCTGTTTGTAACTCAGAAGTTCAAAGAACTGACAAGGCAGTTAGTTATTCTTGTTGTTGTTATTGTTGATTTTTGATGTTGTGGTTTACTTGTGGTGCACCTAAGAATCCTTAACCTCAGCTATCTGATGTTCTAAAGAGGTAACAACTATAGAAGCAACAACCTTTATGGCCACAGGGACACAAGAAGATACCCGTTGGTCTGTTTTTAAAGGAAGAAGGAAGATGAGTTGGCCCTTTCCATTAAGAAAGTGCTATTAATCATATTAGCAGGGAGGTGGAATGTATAGCTTTAAAACCTTCCCAAACAGGAGCTAAATTCACACAGTGCCTCTGATGGAGCATCATCTCTCTGTTTTACAAACGCTGAAGGGGAAGTACAGCCAGGTTAAAGAGACTCGCCCAGAGCCCTGAATTAAATCACAGCCTCTGCTCTGGAGCTAGTCTGGCTTCAGGGCAAGGCTGAGGGTCATGGCCCAGAGCTCCAGGTAGGCAGGAGCATACTAAAGGATGGAGCATGGGTATACTAAAGTGCGGGATTTCTTTCCCTGGGATTGTCATTACCCTTCACTGTCTCAAGCAGAGCATTTAGGTCTTAACTTAAAAAGATACTGGCCCAAGGTAGCTCTTCTATAAAAACTACCGTCACACACTTCCAATATTTAGAAAACAGGAACTACTTCCTGTGTGGAACACAGGTTACAAAAGGGTGGGAAGTGCATGAGATCAGAGGAACAACTGTGAAAGCAGAGCCAAGGTCTCCTGCCATCTTTTCCAAGTCAGGCCTGTGAAGTCTTTTAACCCAACAGAACATCAAACAAGGAAGACAAGCTGAATAGCTTTGGGCAAGCCCTTTAATTCTCATGGGTCTCAGTTTTCTCATCTGCATAATGAAAGAATTAGGCCAGATAATTTCCATGACCCTTTTTAATTTGAAAATGATTTAAATTTTTAATTGAAGTTTTATTAAATATCAACCTTCTTTCATTTAAATCACTGCTGAGCCCACTTCCTCTAAGAATCTCTGATTAAACAGGTCAGGGCAATATCATTGCCCTGAAAGGATGCTGACAATATATATCCAGCTTCCAAAATAATCAAAATTACATTAATTATTAATAACAACACAAAATTAAAACTCCATTAAATAGTTACCTAATGCCCATCCTGGGGCACTAGGCAGTGTGCTCCTTCAGTAAGGAATAAGGACAGATTAAATGTTTACCAAGTCCCCTAAATCAATCACTACTGTTTTAATCATTAACAAAATATGCTTCTTAATATTTAAACTTGAATTCAACAGTGACATGCTGTTCTTAAAAGAATGTCCTTTCATTTTATTTTATTTTAAAGCACCGATAGTAGTTGTTTTTTTTTTTTTTTAACCTAAATGTTTTTGGATGATAGCTGTTATCTCATTTTGCTGAAGCCCAGATAATAAAGTGGCCATTGGGCCACCACCGAGTTTGTGAAACTCATAGTCCAGGAGTTTCTAATTAAGCCCCCTGTCGTACCTTGTTGAGACCCTGATATGAATCTTTCAATGTGTGTAGAGAGAACTCAGCTTCAGCTCTGTTGAGACAGCTTTATTTCTAGCCCACATTTTAGATGGGTGCAAACCATCTATTATCAACTCTATCCACTCACTCTTTTTCTCTCTCATGCCAAAGAAAAAATCACTTGTTAGAGAGCTAACTTGATTACAGCCTAGTGATCAGAACTGGTGAGGGCAATCAGTGCAGTCTTTTCCCCATCTCAAGTTTACTTGGGAATCTTGGTGTTTTTATAGAACATAATATGGATGGATCAAATGAAACTGTATCTTTAAAGCATATAGATTAGGAAAAGAAATCCATCATTATTCAAGAGCTCCTCTGCAGCTAACTGCTGAATGGAGGGCATTTGTTCATTGGGCTGGACAGTGAGCCCTAAGAACAGCCTTTCTCAATGTATGTTCTGAGGGCCATAAGCTTCAGAACAAGACTGGAGGTGCAGGCCAGATTTCCTGGCCTGGATGTCTAAGATCTAGATCCAGAAATCTACATATTTCACAAGGTTCTCCAATTCCCAGTGTACTTAAGCTTAAAAACTACTGTTTTGAAAGTCTTATAATTTCCGTGCTGATACCCCAAAAAGGCTGATACCTAGACATTATTAATCAGGTAAGGAATATGCCTAGCTTGTGCTTTATAAACTGTTAAATATGATAATCATAGTATTACTACATCCAAAACACATAAAATAGGTTTTTGCAAATGAAAGGATATCTAATCCTATAGGTGTGATAGTTCTTCATTCTAAGTCCTTGATTAAAAACCACATCAAGTCTTCAAATCTGCCTATTGAGTGTCTGCT